CCCAAACCTGGGGCTCTGGCATCAGTCTGAGCTCAGACTGGCGACTTGCAGGGCCCATTCCTCCATCAGCACTGCCTGATGGGGCTCCGTGCACACCGGGGCATCCTTGGTGCCCCAGACCCACCTGCTGCCCCACAGTGACCCCAGTTCCTGGCACAGGAACACCTGGGAGGACCCAGGACAGCTGCTTTCCTGACCCCAGGGAGGCCCCTGCTGCTTTCTCCTGACACGCGGCACCACCTGGACCCCTTCCACTTGCCCTAGGTCACATGCTTTTACCTGCTGAGACTTGGTGTGACTCGGTGCGTGGGGTTGGGGGGGTACCTGCTCCTCACCCCCACGGCCAGCACGGCCGAGTGTCCTGGGAAGGCATCTCCTCTGGCAACAGAGAGTCAAAGCCACGCTTCCCAGACACGCCGCCACCCCAGCCGACAGGCAGGGCCCCCTCCAGTCTTTCTCTGGCTACACTCAAGACGCAGGAAAGAATTGCAGCTTCCCTCTGGCTCTGGGGGAGCCGATTCTACCCTGCTCCTGCCATGGGCCTGCCAGGCCACGTGGGTGCCCCGTCCCGCAGGCCTTCCCAGACACACACCCTGTATCGCCACCTTGCCCACATGGTCCTTACCATCAGCTCCATTTTATTATGTTCATAAAGTAACCCCCCTCCCCCGCTACTGCTCCAGCCCCCATCCCCAAAAGTGGCTAAAACTGTGACTCCAAAGTGCCACCAAGTATCGACGTGCCCGGGCGAGGACCAGGCATCTGAAGCCAGCTCCGTGGAGACTGACCTGCTGACCCGGCCTCAGGGCCCTACCCTGCTGCCCTACTTGCTGAGGGGCTTCCCTGCCCGCCACCCTCTGCAGCCAAACTCCTGGGGAGGGGAGGCCAGGGTGGGAGCCACCTCAGGGCCCCCAGCACCTCCAAGCAAGCCCCCTGCATTTCCTCCCTGAGATGCGACCTGGGCCCCCAGGCTCCGCTCCCCCACGGCAGGCCTGGCTGCCCAACTGCCCCCTGCGCCCCAGTCCGATTCAAATATCTCTGCCCACTGGGCCCCCGGCCCCTCCACAGCCGCCCTGCCTCCCAGCCGCGGAGCAGCCTGGGAGAGGCAGAGGGAAGGCGGGCAGGGGGAGAGGCTGCCCGACCTGTGGGTCCCAGGCCCGGGGGGCTGGGATAACCCCTCTCCCGTGGGCAGGGGCAATGGCTCTGGTGCTCACCTGTGGTGTGGAAGAGACAGGGCCTGCACGGAGGAAGGGGACAGAAACGTACAAAACGGGCTCCAACCCAGTTCAAGGCCCGCAGGCTCTGTCCTGGCGAGGTCTGTTAAAGAAGTCACCTCCCGCTTCAACACTGGAATCCAAGCGGGGTGTCTCTTTCCATAAGGTGGCTCTGCCTCTTTCCCGGCCCTGTACTCTCTCCTGGCTGCGCCTTCGCTCTGAGCAGCCGCTGCTCCCAGGCCATCTGCTGTCACCGGGGCCAGAGAGGGTGGGGAGGGTGGTGCCATCATAAGATGCGGGGTGCTGACCTGTCGTTGGTGACGGTCCTGCGGAGCCGGACCCCACGCCGGATGGCCACCAGCATGTCTTCAGCCGGGGGGTCGCTGGTGGCAGCAGGAGGCGGGGCGGGTGTCTCCTCCGCGGGGGTGGCTGACAGGGTGGTGGGGAACGGGAACTGGCCCTCGCCCAAGGCATGGGCACCCGCCACCAGCTCGCCAAGCTTCTCCACCAGGCTGTGCCGGTTGGCGGCCAGCTGCTGCTGCTCCTCGTCCTCAGTCGCCAGCCCGGCTCCTGCCCCGGGGTAGCTGGCGGCCTCTGGGGACGGGCTGCCCCAGGCCGTGTTGGGCAGGCTGAGCCTCTTCGGGGAGGCCTTGGTGAGGTCTGCGGCCAGGGGCGAGGCGGCCTCGTCGGTGTAGAAGACACACTCCTCGCTGCCCGCCCGGGTGGGCCCTGTGTAGCCGGGCGAGTCGGGCACTGTGGGCGTCTTCACGGGGACGATGGGCGGCCGGATGGGGATGGGGCCGGCGCTGGACAGGGCGCGGCGCACGGTGGGCTTGGTGGAGGGCGTGCGGCGGATGGTGGCCACGCCGGGGGGCGCGCCCGAGGGCAGGCCGCCGGCGGTGGGCAGCCCCGCGGTGGGCAGCCCGGCGGTGGAGGCTGGGCGCTTGGTCTGGATCAGGCGACGGTAGTTCTGGGCGATGTTGCTGTTGCGCGGGATGGTGGACGACTTGTCGAACTCGGGCGGGCCCTCGCTGTCCGCGTCCCCGTTCACGGAGTAGCAGTCGTAGTCGGAGCCTGGGGCACAGCACGCGGTGATCCCAGGGGCCCAGGTGTCCCCTCACCCCCAGGCTGGACACAGGGAGGGACAGGGCCCTCTGGTGCAGCCGAGTCCCAGCTGTCCCCAGCGGGGTGTGCAGGCCCAGTAACCCACTCCAGTCCCCGGGGCCTACCCTGGGACGGGATGGTGTCCTCGGAGCACGAGGGCGTGGTGGTCTGTGTGCTGTAGCCGCTCGAGTACTGCAGCGAGTCCCGGCTGCTCTTCTGGTGCTCCAGGCTCAGGCCGCGGGTCAGCACCATGGCCAGGTCGCTGGCTGCAGGGGACACCTCCTCCCCATGCTGGGGGGTGGCAACGTACAGGCTGAGACCTTGCCTCCCACCTCCCTCTCCGCCCGGACACCAGAAGCCCTGCCAGGTGGCTGGAGCTGGCCCTGAAGACCACGTGCTGGGTCTCCTGCCATTGACCGGGGCGCTGGCCGGCCTACTCGGGGAGCTGCCTACTTACCTTGGCTGCGATGGTGGCAGGGGACATCCGGGGTCGTGGCACCTCCTCCCCACTGGGGCCCACGGTGCCCCCGCTGGTGGGGCCTGGCTCTGCGTCTCGGAGGAGTTCCACCCGGTCCTTCCTCCGCTGCAGGGTGGTGGCCGAGGGCTGCTCGTGGGAGCCGGCCTTGGACCAGTCCTGCAGGGTGCAGCAGCCAGGTCAGGGCACTCTTGGCCCTGCCGCCCCTGGCCTGGGGGCCTCCCGCCGTGGCTGACACTCAGGGTGTCCAGGACCATGAGGGGTCTCCGGCTCACAACCATGGCCAAGGTATGGCACGCGGCTGGGACTCCTCAGTGCCATCAGGCCCAGGGACAGGATGGGGCATCCCAGGAGGGACAGATGTGGCTGTGTGGGGAGTGACTGCAGGTGGTGCCCAGGCAGCTCATTTCTTGGGGACACACCCCTCTGGCTCACCCTGGGCCCTCCCTGCGGTGACGGTCCTGGGGCCGGGCCAGGGGCACTGACCGAGGTGGGGGAGCTGCACTCGCTAACAGACTGGCAGGTTTCTGAGGCCTCGGAGGACGCAGAGCTGGAGGACTTCTGCCGTGCAGAGGCGAGGTGGTTGCGCAGACAGACAGGGGCCGGCAGGGCAGGAGGCAGGGAGGAAAGGAGAGAACAGGCCTGGTCACAGCACCGGCGTGCAGGGGCGGTTTCACTCAGCGCCTCACCCCACCCCCGCCACGAGTGCACGTGTGGGCACTGCCCACCCGGTGGCCCAGCCTGAGAACCACACGTCTTGAGGACTGACCCCAGGACTTGCTCGATGGCCCGGACGTGGTGGGCACAGGAAAGAGACACTAAGGTTGGCAGTTGGGCCTCTGGTTTGAACAGCTGGGGTGATGTGTCACAGTCTTCTCAGAAAGGGGACATGGGGGGACGCAGGAAGCGCAGAGTGCCATCCAGCGCCCACTGAGCGGAGCTGCCCGTCAGGTCTCTACACGAGACGCAGGCAACGTGCTGACACCCGGAGTTCAGGGAGAAGTCGGGGTTGGAGCCACCAGTGCAGCAGGCTGGGGGCAGGATGAGGCCACTTGGGCAGCGAGTGTGGTTAGCGACAAGGGCCTGGGGCCCACAGAAGTGCTGACGCTCAGCAGCTGTGACGAAGGGAAGAGTCAAGCAAAGGAGCATGACCAGGAGCCACCGGAGAAGCGGGAGGGCCACGCGCAGGTGGTGCGACGGGCATCAGGACCAAAGCCTGTGCTGGGGGTGGGGGCAGCTGTGCAGCTGCTGCAGGGCCCATCGCTGAGGGCACGAGAGGGTTCAGGGAGACCCCGAGGAGGGTGGTTTCAACAAAATGGGACGGGGGAGCCCCTACAAGAGTGGCCAGAATGGCAGGCCTGGCTCTGGGCAGTGGGGTAGACTCCAAAACAACTGCAAAGAATGAAGAAAAATAAGCGTGGACAGGACTGTGAGCTCCTGAGCACGGGTGACGGGCAGGGGTCCCCAGGGCAGACGCTGACCCGGGCACAGCGGGAGGAGCACAGTGCGGTGCTCACCCCATGAGCCGAGCCGGGGTGGCTGCAAAGGGATCAGTGCCCATCCCCCAGCTCTCATCGGACTCTCTAAGTCAAGAACGATTTATGTCCCTGGGTTTCCTACCGATTATAACGCACCAAGATCACCAAATAAGAGGAAACAAAACACTAGAGATTAAGGATTCAGAGGAAATAACAAACTCAGACTTTTAGTGATAGGATTGTTCAATTAAAACACTCAGTGGAAAAGTTCAATACTTATTCGTGGGAATAAGTAAAAGAAACAAAGACACTTAAATTAGGAATAGAAAGAAACTTCCTTATTCTGATGGAGAGTATCTGTAAAATTATTGATGCTTTTCGCCCTGACGTTGGAAAACAGACAAGGACGCCGACTGTCATCGTGTCTGCTCGGCACGGGAAGTCTTAGCCAGTGCAATAAAGCAAGAAAAAGGAATAAAAAGCAAAAGGATTGGAAAAGAAGAAACAAAATGATCACTATTTGCAAATGACATAATACTATATGTAGAATCTGCAAAAGAATCCACAAACTATCAGAATTAATATGTGATTTTAGCAAGGTTATTCGATACAAGATTAGAGAAAAAAATTGTATTTCTAAATACTAGCAGCTAACAGGAAAAAAAATAAACCCTAAAAAACCCATATAATTTACAATAGTGTCAATGAACATCAAATATTAGGGAAAAAAACCCCACAACAGATTGCACAAGATCTTTACATGAAAGCTACAAAACATTACTGAAAGAAGGTAAAGCTTAAATAAATGGGGAGGCATATGCAATTCCAGTTAAAATCCCAGGAATTTGTTTTTTGGTTTTTTTTTGGTGAGAACTGAGAAGCTGATCTTAAAATTTATAAGGGAAGGCAAAGGACTGTCATCACCGGATATGAAGATTTTCTATCAAGTTACAGTAATTAAGATGTGTGGTATTAGCACAAGGCCAGACGAATCCACCAGTGGAACAGACCATGAGTCCAGAAACAGCCACATACATGCAGACGCCTGATTTAGGACAAAGGCGACACTGTGGTGGGGAAAAGACAATGCTATGGTCTGAGTGTCTGCGCCCCCCAAATTCACGTTGAAATCCCCACCCCACAAGGTGAGGTACTAGGACATGGGAACTTTTGGAGGTAATTAGGTCATGAGGTTGGAACCCTCATGAAAGGGTTTGATGACCTTATAAAAGGGGCCCGAGGGAGCTAGTTTGCCCCTTGCTCCGAGGGAAGAAGACACAGCAGGAAGGTGCCACCTGCGAACCAGAAAGCAGACCCTTACCAGATACCGGATCTGCTGGCACCTTGATCCTGAATGTCCCAGCCTGCAGGACTATGAGAAACACATTTCTGTGGTTGAGGAGCTGGCCAGGGTGATTACGGCAGCCTGAACAGGCTAAGACAGACGGTCTTTTCAATAAATTGTCCTGGGTCAATTGGAAATCCATATGGAATAAAGGACCCCTACCTCACACCACGCCCACACGTGAACGTAGCCAATCCCACATTAGCTGTGGATCTAAATGAAAATGGTAAAACGAGAAGGCTTTTAGAGGAAAACATCTTTGTGACCTTGGAGTATGCAAGAATAAGCAGAACATAAAAAGCACTAACAATTTAAACACGGGTAAGTTGGACTATATTAAAACTAAGAGCTTCTGTCATTAAAAGACCCCATTAGGAGAAGAAAAAGGTAACCACAGAATGAGAAAAGGTAACTGATGAAGGACTTGCATCTACCCTATATAAAGAGCGCTATGAATCAGTAAGAAAAAGACACACAACCTAGTAGAAAAATGGGCAAAAGATTTGAACAGGTCCTTCACAAAAATGGTCTTTAAAAGTATGAAAAGGTAGCTGGGTGCGGTGACACACACCTCTAGTCCCAGCTACTTGGGAGGCTGAAGTAGGAGGATCACTTGAGCCCAGGAGTTCAAGGCCAGCCTGGGTAACATAGCTAGACCCTGTCTCTTAAAAAAAAAAAAAATACAAAAAAGGTTTTCAACCTCATTATCATTAGGGAAGTGCAAATTAAAAATACAGGGCACTACTACCACTAACAACGCCACCACCATGTACCCACCAGAACGGCTAAAACGAAAAAGATGCAAATACAGAGGGCGGGTCAGGACGTGGACTAGCAACACACTGTCATAATTTGCTAACAGGAGAGGAAATTGGTATGATCGCTTTGGAAAACTGGTAGGACCTATCGAACCAGGACACGTGCATATCCCGAGACCCAGCGATTCCACCCCTGGGGGTAGCCGCGCACTGAGGTGCATGCTAGGACGTTTACAACAGCACTGCCAGCAGCACCGAAGGCAAAAACGTGGAAACTATCCACATGTCCAAGAAAATGGTTACGTACACTGTATATTCACACAGGGGTATGCAATACAGCAACAGGAATGATACCCACCTCCACATAAAACACGACGAGCCCAAGAAACATTAGCCCAAGCCAAAGAACCCAGGCAGAAAGCATACACGCTTCATGGTTCTCAAGGATAACAAAGGCAAAACTAATACCCTTGGGGGCTTCTGGGGCGATGGTTGTGCTGTTTCTTGTTCCTGGGGCTGGTTACGCGGGTGTGCTCGGTTTGTGCGGATTTACAGAGCTGCCTGCTTACTATGTATTTATTTCTCCACGCACACAGGAAACTTCAATAGATAAGCTCTTAAAAGACTTGATGGTGATAGGTTGTCACCCGCAGAATAAAAGAAATATTTACGAGTCCCTGTTGACATAAATAAATAACTGAATATGTAAATAAATGGGGGAGAAGAGACAGATCGTTTCATGGTCCAATTCCGATGAATAAATGTAGGAGGAATGAAGGAAACAGAAAAATCACTATTGTCACAGGCAACGATCACCCGTGGATGCTAACCCTAGCAAGTGAAAGTATGAGAACCAGGGTATCTGCAGAGTCTCGAAAGCGTCTCACCACAAGATTCTTTATTAATCACAAAGGGGAAAATAATGACGTTGCAGTGGGGAAACTTGACAAACGCCACCTTAACCAAGAATGTCACCAGTCCCTGGGCACGTGACATCACGCAGCTGGCAGGACGTACCAAGAAGGGCACAACGCCGCTTCTGTGGTGCTCTTGCCAAAATGTATCACCTCTCATTCTAAACGGGAGACGCCGCACAGGCCCGAATTGAGGGACACCCCACACAGTGCCTGCCCAGTTTCTGCAGGAGCGTCAAAGTCACGAACGACAAAGAGGGGAGGCACCGGGGAACAGTCACAGCTTGGAGAAGCCTCGGTGACACAAAAATCAAACACAATGGACGACCCTGTGTTGGATCCTGAACCAGAAAAAGGAGAAAGGAGAGAAAACTGGCAAAATCTGAAAACAGATCCACAGATGAGTTCGTGGCCTCGTACCAGTGTTCGTTTCCTGGTTTTGAGAACTGTTTGGAGTTACAGCATCAGGGAGACCGTGGGAAGGGTATATGGGAACTCTCATTCCTTTTGCCACTTTTCCACAAGTCTAAAATGATTTCAAAATAAAAAGTTAAAAAAAAAACCAAAAAACCCCTCAGTGGGTAGGATAGATAGCAAAAAAGGGAAGTGGATTGAAGACAGACTGAAGGAGTCATCCAGGATGTACAGGATAAAACAAGGACAGGGAAACTGAGCTAAGAGACGCAGAAAAGACGATGAGAAGGTCTGAGGCACATCGAGCTGGAATCCCGGCGGGAGAGAACAGAAGAATGAAAGGCGGAATAAAGAGAATGGCTGAAAAGTCCCAGAACAAATGAAAGACATGAGTTTTGCTTTGGACTGAGGGAGGTTAAAATAAAAACAGATCCGCATCGCAGATACACTGTAGCAAAACTAAAGGAAAGGCTTAAAAGTGGCCAGAGAGAGCTGTCAGATCACTCGCGAAGGGCAACGATGGGACTCAGGACAGACCTTTCAACCAACAACGAAAGCCTGAACCGTGGAAAAATACCTTCCCAGTGTGGAGAGAAAATAACTGTCACCCTAGAATCGTGACCCTGGCAAAACTGACTTTCAAGAAAGAGGATAAAATAAAGTGTGCTTAGAAGTAAACAAAAACAGAGTTTACTTTTATAGACCTATTCTAGAAGAACTTCTGAAAGACATTCTTTACTTCGAAAGGGAGGAAGATGACCTTAGAAGGAAGATTTGAGATGCAAGGAAAAACGATGAACAAAGACGTGTGTAACCTTGTGGGTAAATCTAAACAGATACTGTATGTATAACATAATAAATTAAGCAGAAAAATGTCGCTGTGGGTACTATAAAAAAAGGAGAGAATAACATATAGCAGCTTTTATGTTGAGAGAGAGTGGGCGATTGAAGTTAAAATATATTAAGAGCCTTGAATTATTCATGAGGTGGGTTGTGAGTTTGCTAAGCATGCATGGTAAAACTTCAAGGTAACCTGTAAGAGAAAAGAAATAGAGTATGACTTGCAATCTAGTAGAGGGGAAACATGAGAAAAGGAAAAACAAAAGGCAAGGGAAGAGACAAATGCAGCATAGGACAGAAAAAAGGTGTAAGTCCAAACATGTTAGGAATCATAACAAATATAAATGGACTAAAATGCCAAATATAAGACAGAGATTGTCAGACTGCACAAAAAAGAAAATCTAGGCATATGCTGTTTATAAGAGACGCATCTAAAACATAAAGATATTAGTGAGCTTAAACACAAAATGGAAAATGATAATATATGATAACATGATAATAGCGAGCAGAATAAAGGCCCTGGGGACCTCTAGACCAGTCTCAATGGCTGTAGTGGCCCCACACATGGATAGCCCAAGGCTGGCATGAGACTCCTGCAGCCCACCCCGGCTGTCCCCCCGGTGCCCCCTCACCTGGCTGGTGATGTCTGAAGGCATGGGCGAGGGGGGCTTGGAGTAGGTGGTGTCCTGGGAGACGAAGCCAGAGTCATGGGAGGAGACGCTGGAGAGGCGGGTGGTGGCGGTGGCTGGCTGTGCCAGGCTGCGGTAGCGACAAGTGGAACTGGGTGAGTATGTTTGGGCACCCCCTGGCCACGGGGCTCCGCCACCCTTGGCACTGCTACTGCTGCTGGGGGCACTGGGGGGTGGAGGAGGAGGGCAGAGCAGCCAGACAGGGAGAAACAGAGGAGTGTGTTTGGGGGAGGGTGACAGACGAGGGTGGGGGAAAGAGATGAGGAGCAAAGGAAGGAAAAGACAATGTCAGACTAGGAGGTCGTGAGACCCAGGCACTACAGAGGAGCTGTGTTCTGAGAGGCAGGGCAGGGCAGGGGACACGCAGCCCATGGCCCTGGAGTGCCCCAGTGCTGATGGGGCCATGGTCAGGGCATGCCCAGGGTGAGTCAATCTGTCTCCTACTCTGCCATTAAGAATGGCAGTCCTTATGTTAACCCTGGGGAAACTGAGTCACCATGTGTCAAACCATTAGAACCAGACACAAGTCAGATTGTTTCTCAACTGTCTTCTCAAAGTTTGGTATTTGCTGTCCAATCCCAATCAGGTGTCTAACATGGTGATGGCCTGCTTGGGCATGGAGGTCACCTGCCAGGTGGGTGCTGGACCCACCATCACCCTCATCCGCTCTACCCCCTCAAGGGTGTCCACCCCTCCGTGGCACACCCCCTCAGCACGGCCACTTCACCCTTGGGCAGTGATCCCGCAGCGAAGGTCGCCTTCCTCCTCAGTGACCGTGAAGCCTCCCAGCCCCTGCTCCTGGGTCTCCCTGCAACGAATCCTCCCTCCGGTGACCGCCACCTGCCCAGGGTCTGATGGCCTCCTGTGGCCCTGGGCCCTCCTTTCTCTGAAGGATCGCTGTGCCCGGTTTCTCCCTAGCCCTAGGTGCCAGCCAGAGGTGATATTGGGGAGAGGGACGCCTGGCACAGAGGTGCCCCCGACACCACTAACTTGCCCTGTGCTCGCTGCCGTCCTCATCCTTGAATCGTAAATGTCCCCTCCAAATCCGGCCCTGGTGCCAGCCCAAGGAAGGGCCCCTGATCCTGAGCTCGCCCGGTGACTGAGCAAGACCCCTGGCCCCTCCCCAGCTCTGTGAGACCCCCAGGGCTAACGTGGGCCAAGGCGTGAGCCTGTGGCAGCTCCCTGGGAACCAGCCAGGCTGAAGTGTCCTTTACCTTGTGGCCTCAGCACATGTTCCCAGAAGCCTCCCTACCGCTCCCTGGTCTTAGATTCTCACTGTTACCCCACACTGCGCTGGGCTTGGCAGAGTTCAGTGGTTAAATGTTGGGACTCTGTGCCTCAGCTCCCCCTTCTGTGGAGACGACACCCTATCTGACACGGTGGTGGCAGGCTTCAATGAAAAAATGCATAAAGCACTCAGCACAGCACCTGGCACACAGCTAACGCTCTATAAATGAAACTGCGACTGCCTCCCCTACCTTCCTGCCAACGAATGCCTGAGCCAGTAGCAGTCTTGGGAAGATGGGGCATATTTTTAATCTACATTTGCAAATTCCTTGGCCCATGTAAAAGTCAGTGAGTCCCGGGGCCCCGTGTGTCTGTCCATGCAACTTGGCCAGGAACTTCCCTACTGCCCCTCTGGACACTGCCCTCCACCCCACCTGACCTGCACATGCTGGACTTCCGGGAGTTGGAGCTGCTGGGTGACGAGGGTGGGGTCTGGTAGGACCAGCTGTAGTCCGAGCCCTTCAGGTCTTTGATCACCTGGACAGGGACACAGATGGGCGTCACTGGAGGCAGCTCCAGAGCTAGTAGGGCCAGAGGCCCCCCACTCTCTTCCCAGTTGTGAGCCACACCCCAGGGCAAGACCTGGGAGTCTGAAGGCCCCTCCCCCAGCCTTCTCCTAATGTGGGGAGCAGAGAGAAAGCAGGCAACCTTCAGCCTTCTCTGAGTCCCTTCAGCTCACACACCGAGTTCGGATTCTGAGCCCAGCCTGACCTAGGTGAGAGTGACCGTGACACCACGGGGTTCAAACTGTTTCTGGGCCTGAGTTCCAGTTTTCTCCTGTGAATCGGGACCAACTGTCTCTGTCTTGGAGCACGGCGGGGAGGATCTAACGAGATGACCTGTGGGAAGTGCTCAGCAGAGAGCTGTGCATGCACTAAGTGCCTAAGTGTTGCAACACCACGTGGGCTGTCAGGCAGGACTGGTCCCAGTGCAGTGGAGCCAGGTGGGGGCAGGTGTGACAGGGTCTCAGGGAGGTGACAGGGTTTCTGGGGGTGAGTGGTAGGCAGGCATCACCAGGTGTGGAAAGGGGCTTGCCCAGGTGGAGCCTGGTGGGGGTCGGACTCGGGGCACCCCCCCCCCACAGATTCAGGACTTTGCTCATCTGCTCTCGGTCTGAGAACCCCGTTGGGCCTGGGCACAACGCCCCTCATCAGACATGTGCTCCTGGACACCCCATAGCAGGTGCTGGAAGGGGTCAGGTCTGCCCCCAGCTGCCTCCCACAAATGCTATTCCCTTCTCTCCTCTACTGTCTCCAACCAAAGGCAGCCCATCTCCTCCCCGCCCTTGGCCCCAGGGCTGGCCGCACCTGCTCGCTGGCCGGCGGCAGCTTGTGGGGTTCCGCGGTCAGCACGACCAGGTCGTCGATGATGCCCTGCAGGTGGGTGATCTCCCCCAGCATGGTCAGCTCTCCGTTCTGAGGATGCAGCCAGTCAGACCCATTGGCCCCTCCTCCCTCACCTTCCCCGGCTAACCAAGGCCGCTCCAGGCTGGTGGAGGCGGATCCCACCCAGCACAGCCTGGGTGGCCGGCACGACCGTCTGCCCAGACCCATCAGTGCAGTGAGCTAGGAGACCTGCCTCTGGGCCAGGAGCATGTGGCCTTGACACCCCAGCCAGGGAGCACTGAGAAGTGGCCTTTCTTGGAGGCCAAGAGGTCAACCTTAGACCCAGCCCAACCCACTGGAGCCTCCAAGTCCCCAAGGGACCCACCACCACAGGCTGCAGGAAGGTGATGAAGGTGCAGAAGCGGCCCCGCTCCTCGATCAGCGCGCGGCGCACCGCCTGCTTCTCCGTCTCCTCCAGCAGCAGGTACATGTCGTTGACGTCCTGCAGGGCGCTGTCCAGCTGGGGCTGCAGGTCTCCTTTCCCTGGAGGGGTTGGGAGGAGAGGCCGCGCTGGGGACGCAGGCCCTGCTCGCTGCAGCCATGGCTCACAGGCCCCCTTGGTGCTGTCCCTGACCGTGGGGCTGGGTGCTGCTGCAGGGCCAGGGGAATGGGGAGGGCAGTCGGGACTCTGGGGCTCATGGAGGGGCTGGTCTCACCAGAACAGGTAGAGAGGACAGACAGACACACACGCACAGGAAAGACACCAAAGCTGCAAAGCCACCCAGGAGCTAGGGTGGGCCAAACCCTGGGTAGCCCCAGGGTGGCTCTCGGGGCCCAGGAATACTGCTGACCACACAGGTGCCCTTACTGTCTGTGGGAGGGAGCCCCTCACCTCATGGCCTGGGGAGCGGGGAGGAAGCAAGACAGAGCAGAGTGTGGGCTCAGCTACAGGCCAGGCCACTGGAGGGCGGGCTCAGGAGAGCTAGAGGCTGGGATTTGGGGACAAGGAAGAGGGGCATCTCAGTGTGGGCCCCCACTCAGCTCAGAAGCAATGCAAAAGGACAGCAAAAGCGACACAAAGAAGCAGCAAGAAAGAGAGGCGAGAGGATGGCGCAGAGATGATCAGACAGCAAGTGGGGAGGTGACAGACAAGGTCACAGGGCTGGCTGGTAGGGGCAGGGCAGCCAGGGCCTGTGCCCCTCACCCTGCCCCAGCCACACCTCCTGGCCTGGCAGACTGACCCAGCAGTGGCCCCGGACTCATCCCTGGCCAGGGGCCCCAGGGGCCCCAAGGGGACTGTGCCCCAGGCCCCTCCCTCGGTGGACCGACCGCCTTCCTTGCTCCTTCTTGGCCGGGAGAGGTTCCTTCCAATGGCCCTGAACTGGGGGAGACAGACAAATGCGACAAGGACGGGAGGAGCAGCTGGAGGGATGGACATTTGACTTACCAAGTAGCTCTACAGGAAGGATGTGGGAGGAGAGGAGGAGAGACAGAGAAAGAGAGAATGTGTGAAAGACAGCCGGATGGACAGAGCCACTCCTGGGGGGCATGCCTGCGCCTCTTGGGCCTCCTGTTGCCTCCCTAAGGGAGGAACTGGGCCAGGTCTGGGGTGCAGGGCGGCCCCCTCCGTCCCACCCAACAGGTTGGAGGGACCTTTGCCGGGGACAGAGTCCCTGTGGCTGGGAAGATGCCTGGGGAGCCCCAGGGGGCCGTGGGGGGCCTGGGGGGCTGTGACAGCGGCAGGCGCGGGCCCTACCTTTGCGTGCCTTCTTCTGCAGCTTCAGCGTGTCCGAGGACTTCTTCTTGATCTCGTGCCGGGCCCGCTTGTACTCTGCGCAGAGGGGAGAGGGGAGCGCTATGCTGGGGGTTCCCTGCGCGGCAGGAGGGGTGGGGCGGGAAGGCCGGCGAAGCCCCGCCCACCTTTCGCGTGGTCCTTGTCCAGCTGGTTAGCCGACTTCTTCCAGTCCTCGATGCGCTCCTGCAGCGGGTTGATGAGGCTCTCCAGCAGCGCGCTGTGGGGGGAGCACGCGGGTCAGCTCAGGCAGGGCCACCGAGGGTCCCCCGGGAGCGCCCCCCACCCGCCGGCGAGCCCACTCACTTGGTGAACTGCCGCAGCTTGGTCTCGATGCTGCGGTGGCGCATGCACATACGCGTGAGCGCCGAGCCGATGTCCCGCGTGGCCCCTGGCGAGGCAAGCGTGCGGCGTGGGAAGGGGCCCGCCAGGGCTCCGCAGTCCCGGCTCGGGCCACGAGGGGGCGCCCGGCCCGGAAGACAGAGCCGCGATCCCGCTGCGCCCGGAGGGGACTTGATCATCCATCCGAAGTCCGGAGCTCCTCCTCCGTGCCAGGGCCCTGGCCATCCGGGCCACACTGGTCTCCTGCTGGGCAGGCCAGGAGACTCCCCTCTCCCAGCTGGGACAGGCCGGCGCCAACGACTGTCCAAGGCGCGCTACCAAAATTCCCCTCCAGCCCCTCGGGCAACCTCTTCCAGGTGTGCCCAGGTGACAGTGCGAGCACACACCCAAGGCCTGGAGGAGCAGGAGCCCCAGGTCTCTGCTATTCTGGCCAGAAGGCAGAGGAGATGTCACGCCCAGTGGAGAATGGAGCGCTCACCTGCCCCCCACGTGCTCTCAGAAGGAAGGGCAAGGGAGACGGGTGCCAACAAGCCAGAGTCATCAGACTCTGCACAGAGGCGTGAACTGCGACTGAGGGGTCAAGTGAGCTGCCCATGGCAAGAAGGGAATCTGCATGTAGCATCCCTGTCACCACTCGCCACTCCTGCTTGCATGCCTCCTGTGACGAGGGGCTCACTCTCTCCACAAGCAGCCCATTCCACTAGGAAGTAGCCTCAGGGCTTGGTCCTCTCCCTGGCCCATACCCTACTCAGACTTTCCAGGCTCCAAGCCCACCCTGGGGTGTCCCCAAGCCCCAGCCACACCCTTGCCCACCTCGGGTGTTGGTAGCCATATCAGCCACTTTCTGGAAGGCATCCAAGAAGGCCACAGCAGCCAGCACAGTGGTCCTGGGAGATGGACAGTGGAGTGGATTGCCGGTGGGTGGGGCGTCCCCTCCTCCACCTGCCCCTCCCCAGCTGGGGCACCCTGACAGCCTCACCTCAGCTGGGAATGCAGCTTTGTGGCCTTGGAGTTGAAGTCCTCCCAGATGGGGTAGGAGCTCTGCAGGGAGACGGAGAGGAGGTGAGCCCTGGGGGGGTTGGGTGGGGTGTAGAGCTCCCCCTGTGCCAGGCTCCCACATGCCTCGTCCAGACTCTGCCAGTTTCTGGGAGAGTGGCTCTGTCCCTGCAGAGAGGGACTCCAGGCCCTCTGGAGGAGAGAGGACCAAGGACAGAGCCACCAGGCATGAGGAGGGCCCGTCCTTGGGACTGAGTGGCTTTGCTGACAGTCGGGAAGTCCGTCCTACTGTCTACAGGGGGTGACTGTTTCGGCCCACATCCTTCCTGGGGGAGACAGAAGCAGCCAATGGCGGGTTCTGTCTCCTCAGGGTTTCCCAGGGGCCTGGCAAGGGATCTGGGCAGAGTCCCATGAGGACGCCGTGTTTCCCAGACACACACCTGGGATGGTGGCTGCTGACCTGCCCACCTGGCTGGGGGGTGGAGACACGGCGTGGAGGCTGACAGGGTGCGAGGCACGCCAGGTCTAAACTGGGGCCTCCGGGGGCACTGCCCTGGGCCCTGTACCTTGGATGCAGCCGGTGGGCCGGCCATCCCAGGCCAGCAGCAGTGGCTCCCAGGCCCAGGGAGGCCGTGGCTGCTGCAGGGCCGGGCCATCCTGCCCGGGACAACCAGGCCCCGGCTGAATGGGGCCTTGTGCGGCCAACAGAGCCACCTTTCTCCACCCGCTGCTCCCCTCCCCTCCTGGGGAAACAGTGTGGCCTTTATCCCAACCAGGCCCAAGGCTCCAGGATGGGAGGGGGTTTCCCAGTCGGGAGGTCGGGCTCCTGGCGACCGAGTTGTCCAGTCTGATCGGGGCCTTTCTGGCTAACGCACTCGCCCCATGGCGGCAGAAGCCTAGCCCTGGCCCGAGGCCCTGTGGAGGCGCTGGTCCTTGAAGGGGAGCCCTGGGCCAACAAAGCCCCCACCTGAAGGGGTTTCTGACCCTCCCCTCCCCACGTGGGATGGGGCGCTGTGGGGTGGGGCTCTTCCCGAGGAAAGGGGATGGCAGAGACCCTGGCTCCCAAGGCCTCAGTGGTGGCTCTGCCGGGCTGGGATCCAGGGGTGGGCTCTGGCTGGCTCCTCCAGGTGAGGAGAGCTCGCAGGGGTGGCAAGGGGACGGGGCAGCTTTAGCGAGCCTCAGAATCTCTCCCCGCTTTCAGCCCAGCCAAGCCAGTGTCCAGGGAAAGCAAATATTTGGGAATCCAGAGGCTGGAGCAAGAGGGGGAGGCTGTGGGTGCGCTGTCCCCACGCGGGCACAGCTCAGGATAGAGGGGCCTGGGAGGCCGTCCCTAGCAATCCTGAGGAGCCGACCCGTGTCTGGGGCACCCCAGGGGTCTTCTGAAAGGGGGCATCCTCCCACCACCACTTGGACCCCCTCCCACCCAGCCTTGAAGCCCTGCTAAGACCTCCCTTAACGGAACAGAGAAGACGCTAGGGGTGCAGAGTGTAGGGGGGTCCAGAGCCAGCTGTTTCCTTAGCCCCCTCAGCAGCCCCCTCAGAGATTAAGGGCTCTCCGGGGGGGAGGAGACAAGGCAGGGCAAGGCGGGGCCAGGCCCGGTTTCCCTGGGCAGATGAACTGGGTGCCTCAGCCTCTGAGAACTTGGGATTCTACCCCCGTCCCCAAGTAACCCACATGAGGTCCCAGAGGCGGGGCGCTGAGGGGCCAGAGCAGCCAGTGCCCCAGGAAGAGTGCCTTCAGCCTTCACTGGGCCCAGGAGAGGAATACTACTGTCGCCCTGTGTTACAGATGGGGACACTCAGGCCCACAGAGATTAGCTGACTTGCCCAAGGCCACACGGTGGCAGGGTGAGGATCTGATCCCATGTCTGGTCACTAACGTCAGGTACAGGGACCCCCTGACGAGCAGGGAGATGAGCACCTGAGCCTCAAGGCTGGGGAGGTGGCAGGGACTGCACAGACTGGGACAGCCAGCTCTGCCCCAAGCAGTGGCTGCTCTGGAGGGGGACGTGGGGGCTTGTCACTAAGGTGCCCAAGTGGATGGGGATGAGACTGATGGGGGGTCCATCTCAGTCTGGCAGTGGCTGTGGTTCAGATGTGGGGTGCGGGTGAGCAACGCAGGCTCTTGACCCCAGAGAGTGGGCTTTCCGGGTGGCCCTGGGCCAGGGCTCCCGCTGCCTCAGTCTTCACAGGACTGGACCCGCCTCACGGGGCAGCGTGGAGACTCGAGGAGGCCCTGCGTGGAGAGCGCCCAGCGCAGGGCCCGCGCACGGCAAGGCCCAGTCATCGCTGGCTGCAGGAGAGGACACAGGCCCTGTCCCTTGGCCAGGAGCCCCCAGCAGAGACCTGGCCGGGGCCCATGTGTCTGGGTGATACTCCCCACTCTTGGGGGCACAGGCAAAGATGACGACCCCATTTTTTGGATGGGCCGGTCCTGGGTGGAGGTGCCATTCCCCCTGCTGAAGAGGCTGTGTCCTATCACCGTGGGCAGGTCCTGCCCCTCCCTGGGCTTCGGTGGGCATCTGGCCCGGGTTGTACAAGGCACAGAAGGCAGCAAATGCTCCCGAGGGCTCCCCACTCCATAGCTGGTGCCTCCTCCAGGCCATCTAGGCTCCAGGTGTGGCCTGGGGAGCCCCTTCTCCCCTCTATGCCTCTCAGCTCAGAGACAGGGACTCCTAGAGGCCCCAGGGAGGGCTGTTGTGGGGCCTGTGCACGCGCCGTGGGGCAGCCCCACGGGGCCAGCTGGCTAACGGACCCCTCCCTCTCTGGAAGCCCTGCTACCTCTGTGGCTCAGGCTACGGAGAAGCTGGTCCCCAAATCCAGGTGGTCAGCATCCAGGTGGCCTAGTCCCTGTCTCTGCCCTTATCCAGGGCCCCTGAACACATGCATGTGTCATAGGTAGGGACATACCTGTACTTGGCATGACCCCAGGTGAAACCTCTCCCGTTTTGCTTCTGAATGTCAGAAAATCCTGCCTGACGTGTAGCTCGAACCTCTTGCTACAATCTGGGCCCAATTTCTTTCTGTCTCATCCCAAAGTTCCTTGCAAATTGGCAGGAGAGGGAGGGCAACGGTCCTGGTCCTGTTCTCCAAGCAAAAGCTGCCGCTCCCTGCAGCGGCTGCTAAGAGGCTGCGGGGTGGGGGAAGGCGCCACCCTCAGCCAGCCCTGGGAGTGCTCGGGGGAGGGGAGGCTGGTCTGGGCTGCCCAGTCCCGGAATGGGATGCTGGGGCTGGGATCAGGGCAGGTGGGCTGCTGAGGGCCAGCTAAAGCGCCTGGAGATGGAGGCGCAAGGGACGGAGTCCCTGGGGAAGCGCCATGAGGAGGCGGCACCTCCATGCTGCTAACTGGGTAGTCCCAGGCGGGCGGGCTGGCTTCAGGCCTCTTCCTGGGGGGCAGGATCTGGCAGTGGCCCTTGCGGCTGTTCCCCTGGCAGCCCCGACCTCACAGGGCCTGTCCCAGCACTGTGGTGTCCCCCTCGCCCTGCAGTGGGATTCTGTGTTGTATACTCGGCGCGTGTGTGCTGGGCTGGGAGGGTGGGTGCCCTCAGGAGTTCCTGTGGGGAGCGCAGTCCCCATTCTGTCCCTTGCTCCTCCTGGGCCCTCAATCCTGCCCCTTCATCCTAGACTAAGGAAGGGGCAGAGAAGACAGGCAGGAACGCCAGGTCCCGGAGCTGGGCCCTCTCTGCCTAGTCAACCTGGGGCAGCCCTGCCAAAGCCTGGCCTCTTTGGGGGAGACGGTCCCCCTAACCCTCAGGATGAACAATGAGGGCTGTGGTCAGGGGCAGGATGCAACGGTCTCCTTAATGACCTTGAGCCATTCCCAGGCCTCAGTTTCCCCACCTGGTGAGGTGAGCCAGAAGTCAGTGGCCTGCTTCAGCCTGACCTTGGGCAACCACAGGGGTGCTGGAGCTGAGCTTGGGCAGGGAATGGGGTGGGAAACACGCTCCCTTGGGGTTGTTCCTCCAACCCCAACCTTCTCCCTGCCTCCTCCCAAGGTGATGGTAAAGGCCTTAGCCTTGGGAAGCAGGGACATTCAGCGTGGAGACCTTGGCATCCCGAGTTTCCTGGGGCTTGTTTGGGGGGGGGCGGGGCTGGGGGCGGCAGTCTCAGGGTTGAGCGGGGGGCAGACACCGCGCTGGCAGGGAAGGAGTTAACGGTTCTCCCCTTTATTATTTTATCCAGCTTTGGCGGTGACAGCATTGTCTGGGCTCCGGGACGACCGGGACAGGGTTGTGGGGGGGCATGGTGGTGGAAGGGGGTGGAGGCTGGCGAGACCCCGGACCCCTTAAAGGGCTGGAGCCAAACCCCACTCACGGTCTGCGGGTCTGGGGCACGAGGAGCCCGCGTGTGCGCAGACTCGCGTCGGAACCCCACGGGCGACCCCGGGCACCTCACGGACATCCCGACACGCCAGCACCCAAACCCCCCACACGGGCACCGCAGCACGGGCGCACAGCAGACGCGGGCAGGACACGCTCAGACAAGGACACGCAGACGCCGCGACGCGCGGCCACAGCGGGGCACGGCCGCCCGCCGCCACGCGCCCCCGAGGAGACACGCACCCGCGCGCCCAGCCCCGCCGCGCCCCGTTACCTTCATGTCGTTGACAATGGCCTGGAAGAGCCCGCCCAGGGCGCCGCACTCCTTCTCCGCCGTCTCCATGCTCGGGCCGGGCGGCGGCGGCGGGG